TTTTTTTGGTGTAGCAAAGGAAATTATGCTTTATTAAAATAAAATGTAGCTTATATAAGTAAAAAAGGAAAAATAAGCATTGATGTCCTTGTGATTTCTTGCTAACTGTCTCTATTTTGTTTAATTCTGATTGCAGCAAGACAATAACACATATGTACATGTGAGAGCATGTGTACTTAAAAGCAATGTAATCATAGATACTGTGTCTGTCTAATTGTGGTGTGACTTGGTGCTGACTCACTACCTCCCCTCTGGCCCTTTGAAACCCCAAGGTGGAGTGGCTGAAAAATGAAGAGGTTATTGATCCCGTGGAAGACCGAAATTTTTACATCACAATTGATCACAACCTGATCATCAAGCAAGCCCGGCTTTCTGACACAGCCAATTACACCTGTGTTGCAAAAAACATTGTGGCCAAAAGGAAAAGCACCACAGCGACTGTGATTGTCTATGGTAAGTGGTACCTTGTCCCATTGCAAATGGATGGATGCACACTCAAAGCAAGAGGGGCGGGAGGGGGATGCAAAATGCGTGTATGCAACTCTAGTTGTGGTCAGTCTGGGCTGCCTGTACTGCCTGTTGACTTGCAGACATGTGCAGGGACTGCGGTCAGAGTTCATTACTGAAAATATCAGAAGTACAGATCTGATGGCTTGGCTTATTGGTGACAGGAAATGGTGACAGGAGGAACAGGCACTTACACACACAGCCAGCTACCTCATTGAAGAGCAGATGTTTTTTCCCCTTGCCATAATACATACCGGCTGGATACGGCAAGGAGCAACGAGGGCACATTCTCAACAGACGTGTCCAAGGCACTGCTTACTACCACCACAGTTCACATTCTTAGTGATACTTTTCAGAAAAAAGAGTGAAACTGATGGGAAGTTTGTGCTCCCAGATACTGGTAAGAGTGTCAGAGCTCATCAGAACCCTCCGTCTTCTTATATCAATTTAAATAAGCTTATTTTTGGTGTCTACTGCCAGAACATACCCTGACATCAGGGGCAAAGTAACAAAACATTCTGGGACTGCAGTTCAGAGGCACACAGCCTAGCTTAAAAATAAACGTTGGGGGAATACAAAGCATGGGCTAGCAGTATTCTGTGTCTGCATCCACAGTCCTGATACAACTGAGGCTGGTCGTGCTTTGGCTGTGGAGGGGCCAGATGAGATGCCCTTCTAGGGTCTCTTCCAGCCTGTGTTGCACTGCAGCTCTGCCCCACCAGGTTGAGCCTTTGCCCCTGCAGAGTTATTGCCCCAAATGCATCCCAGGTGGGGGTATCCACCAGAACAAAACCTGCTCTGATGATGTGCCAGCTGACTGAACTGGTGTTCCTTACAATCAGCTTAATTATAGGATAGACAAGTAGGAAAAAATCCCTATGATTATCCCTAATATTCATTTCATATTCAGGGTAGCAGTTAGATTTAATTGTAAGCAGTTGCTTCCTCAAAGTTACAATGGAGGCCTTTTAGTTCAGTTTTTATAGAAAACTGACTGAATTGAGTTGATTAGCAGTGGTTGTGATATTGAGGAATGGACCATGCAAGAGCTCCGTGTTTTGTAACTGTGATGAATGCAGAAACATAAAGATGTAGGCAACTCCTCCTCATACATATACAGAATTTTTTTCAACAGTGCATTCAAGAGACATGTGTAGGGGAGTAGCATTTTTATGGGTTTTGCTACCAGAGCTGCTTAAGGGTTGTATCATATCACAAACATTTGGGTTTAGAGAATCTGAGCAGTGAGTACGTTACGCATACACTGGCAGTCACATTCTTATGTAGAGCAGCATAGCTCCTTCTTCATCTATCTATCCATCTATCCCAGAAAATGAGGTGGGTGAAAAGGAGAGTCAGCATAAATATCTTTCCAGAGATAAATATCTTCCCAAAGTCAATTAAAAAAAATGCGTTTAGTGTTAGTTCACTCTGAACAGCTTAAATATCTGTTAGGGAAGTGCTGAGACATTCATATGCACCAGCTAGGTCCACAGAGGGATGAGTGAAGTTGTCCTGACATCCTGAAATCACCTTCTTCAAAGAAAGGAAGAGAAAATTATCAATACCTAATCAAAGCATGAGGGTGTCTCAGCACACATAGGTGATGGGTTCACCTGAGCATGAGCAGGAGTGCAGGTGGTCTCCCTTTGGAAAGTGCTGCAGCTTTCAGAGCGTAGGCTTCTGGCTGTTAGAGCTATGTGTGCCCTCTGAATCTGCAGGGATTTTGATCATACATGCTCCATTAGGAGCTTAAGGCTGAGTCAGATCAGTTTTCAGAGTAAGGTTGGTCACCCGCAAGTCCTAATAGTCATCAAATTGTGCTTTTCTTTTGGCATCAGCATTTCTTCAAATTTTTACAGTGACTTGTGGCATACATTTGGCATGTTAGATAGATGGGTTTTGTCTGTTCGGTGTTGCTTCTCATGCTATTCCCAGCCATCACTTTGGGCTGTGGACTGACCAAGCTGGCCTGATTATGGGATCATACTCTCCCTCTTGCTTTTCAGTGAACGGAGGCTGGTCTACCTGGACTGAGTGGTCAGTGTGTAACAGCCGATGCGGGAGAGGCTTCCAGAAGCGCACGAGGACCTGCACCAACCCTGCCCCACTCAACGGTGGTGCCTTCTGCGAGGGCCAGAGCGTTCAGAAAATAGCTTGCACCACTCTGTGTCCAGGTTCAGTATCAACAGCACACAGCCCTAGATAAATTGTTTGTCTGCCATCAGTCATTTCAGGAGAATACTATGAGTTACGAAAGCCTGCCTCTCGTTATTAATAAATCCAAAATTTCAGGGAATGAATATGAAATTGTATTACATAAGTAGATAAAATAGCGAGCACGTCATATCAAGCAGCGTGGGTTTCAGCCCTACTTTTGCATGCTGCTTACACTGGTGTCTCAGCCCTCATAATTCAGGGGATTTGGGGAACATTCAGAGTTTCAAATTGTAGGAGATAATGGTTGAAAGCTCTGGAAAAGGATTGGAATTTGAATATAGAAAGGAACTGTGATGTAAATATATTTGCAATGTCTGTTCAGTCCAGCTGTCTCAGCAACTGAAGCATCTGGGATGTGGATGTTAAATTTGAGGCACATGTTTACCTGACTTCAAATACAAAGACATTTATTCTGGAAAGAGATGTGTATCCATACCTTTAAAAGGTATTTAACTGTAAACTTCTGAAAAATACAAAATTGCTTCAGGACATACCAGGTAGTTGGTACTTATCTGTGACAAAGTTCTGCCCCTGTTGTCCGGTGCTTTTCTGCTTCTACAGACCCACTCAAATCAATGTCAGTAAGGTCATCTTCAGCTTGTTAAGTTTGGCCATCCAACTCTGTCACAAGAACAATTTCATATTTTGTTCTTCACCTGTTCGATTTAGTGCTTTTGAAAGTCATTTGCAGGATGTTGAAAGTCACTAAACACATTCCTGATTCTGCTCATGTGAAATAGCTTGGTACCTCTAGATATTTCTTTTAATAGGGAGTATTTAACATTAAATATCTTCCTACTAAAGAAGAATTTTTGGACCAATTTAATCTCTGTGTTAAAAAATACCAAAAACAAAATAAAATCACAGATTCCTGAGTTGTTGCTTGTACACTTTGAACACAGATAAACTAGTTAGAAGTTCATATAAAGGGGAAGACCAGAAATGGGGTCAGGGCAGAGAGAAAGGAGAAGTGGGGGTGAATGTGTATTTACATGACAGAGAAGAGCAGGCTGATGATCCCTCTGCCTTGCCAGAGATGGCCAGGAGTTGCAGGCCGGCTTATGCCAATGTGTGCATCGCTCTTGCTTGGTCTCACTTCTGTGTACACCCTAACAAGTTGTTCTTTTCTCGTGTCAGTGGATGGCAAGTGGACATCCTGGAGCAAGTGGTCCACCTGTGGCACGGAGTGTACTCACTGGCGCCGGAGGGAGTGCACGGCCCCAGCACCAAAGAACGGGGGGAAGGACTGTGAGGGGCTGGTGCTGCAGTCCAAGAACTGCACTGACGGGCTCTGCATGCAGGGTAAGTGCCACTGTGACCTCTCTGGGATCTGGGATGTATATGGCCACAGCAAAACTGGAAATAGCTGCAGAACAGCATCAATGACCTGAAGTCACAGAATCATTTGTAAAAGAAGTGAGTTAATCCAGTTCTTACCACTCTGGGCAACCCACTCTTTTTGCCTGAAGATGAATGTAATGCTGTCTGAGGTATATGAAGTTGAACAGTGAAGAATTAGAAAGAGTCATAACAGAGCTTTCTCTCCCCTGGCCTTCCCACCAAACAGTCTTCCTCTCTATACGGACGCGGCATCTGTCCAGAGAAGTTTGGCAGTGACTCTTACAGCAGTGTAAATGGAAAAAAGAGCATTTAGGGTAAAGTCAGCATTTTTAAAGAGTAAACTTGACCAAGCAGATCAGCTTGTGGCTTCTTAATATCAGGAATGGTGGATGCACGTGTTTCTACGTATAATAGTTATGCGCTTTTTTGGATTTTGGGTGCCCTGTGGTAGAAGGAGGTAGGCTGTATCTAGGCAGTGCCAGTGCAAACTTCATGTATAGTCATCATCATGGTGCAGCCTCGTGAAGATCAGCTGTAGCACTGAAGTCTATTCTGCCTGCACCTGTTTATGCCATGGTCCTGCCTTTGTGATTAATAGGAGAGAGAAGTAAAAAAAAAAGCAGGTTTTAAGTGTGATTCTGACATACACTGATGAACAATTAGTCTGCTCTGCACCCCATCCCTTCTCAAAAATGAGATCTTCTTTGGGCTGTTGGTGCATCAAGACTCCCTTTCACATTTCATTAGCACAATATCCTGAGTCAAAATCATCACATACACATCTCTCCTGTTCCTTTATCCCATCTTGCTACAGTATTTCTCTGTCGAGCGTCAGCTCTCTGTTATCCAAAGAGTCATGGCTGTAACTATTCAATATCTATGTGTCCAGATCATAAAATGCTTTGGGTTCTCTCATAAAAAAGGAGTTGAGAATTTTTATTCTCTGAGGCAGGTTACTTTTGACTGAAATAGTCACAATGACAGAAAAGTGACACTACTAGCTAATACATAGGTCTGCCCCTTGAATAATTACTATATAAGATGGCTACTATGCTGGCAGTGATCTCTGAGCTACCCTATTGGCACAGCATGGCCTCTTGCTCTGGGATTTCCCAGAGTTACAAATAGCTTCCTCAGTGTGGCTCATACAAATACTTCTATGATGTTAAAAACTATTAGTCAATGTCAGCAGCCTATGAAGCTGTAATGCCTCAAAAAATCTCTTTTTATGGGGAAAATGGAAAGGTGAAATTTAGAGCTCCTCTCTTTTGCATTTCTAAAGATAGAAAAAAAAATAAAAATCCATCCATGTCTTACTGTATAACACTTTTATTGTGGGGAAGCTAGCATACCCCTAACTCCAGCACTGTTAATAAGTCATTATGGTAAATTAGGAAGAAAAGATACATTTCCCTATACAGAAGAGCTCTTCACTATCAGATTATATTTAGACAGGTGTATGTCATCTTTGTGTGTGTGCATAAAGAGAGCCATTTAAGCAGAAGTCTTGTGAAAAAGTAGATATAATAGTACAGCAGAATAAAAGCCCTGTAGGGATCTCGTTTATCTGTTGATGGTATATTGCATTTTATTTGTGAAAGTGGATGCTGAGTATAAAGCAGAGGTCTTCAGCAGGAGAGAGGGTGAAACTGTTGTGAATCCTATTCTGCTTCATATATATGTATATAAAAACGATAATGAAAAATATGCAGTCACATAATGACCTGCTTAGCTCCAGGGGCTGTGGTAATCCTTCAGCGTTGGAATTTAATGTCAGTGTTTTAATGGTGTCTTTATACTCACGGGGTTTCATATACCTGTAAAACTTACAGTCCTGCTCCCCGATCCATCACTGCTGAGAAGATTGATTTGCCGTACTTGGTGGCAATGTGCCTGCTGCTCTCTCTCTCTCCCCCCTCCCCTCTTTTTCTTTATTTCTCCTTCTCAGTTTATGCACAATCAATCTGAACACTTACATTTTTGCCCAGGTGGATTTAGGTTTATAGAAAGTCTGCCTGCTGAGCCAGGAAGACACACAGGACTCCTTTCATTTCTAAAACAACATGCCTCTTTCCATAGTATTTGAGGCTTTTGGGGACTGGCCAGGAACTGACATTTCTCCTAGCCTGGGAACCTGTGGATCCACAGCAGACTTTTCCAATGCCTTCATGCCACAGGGTCTGGCATGGCACCATGGAGGAAGCTACAGCCACCTTTTTTTCTGTGGCCATAGCCCTCAGTGAGATGTGTTGGCCAGCTGCTTACCTGCCCCATAGTCAAATCCTGTTCCTAGATGCCCTGGTGCTGCCTCCTGACTGTCAGTCTTTAGTGAGAGCTTGAAGGTTGACACGGGGGGTGTAGTTGGGGTCAAAGAATTAGTAGACAGACCCTCTTACAAGGAGTCAGTAGCCTGTTGCTTTGACAAAAACTCACTTGTAAATATATACCTTTATATAGCTGCACGTAAAAGATATGCTGGAAAATGCTGGATTGAATGAGTCTAATTTACAAGCCCTTTCTCTTCCAGTCTATTATTCACTTCAGTAGCATCAGCTGGATAGATCAATAAGCTCTTTCATCAGACTGCTCCTGCTCCAGCAAAGAGCAGAAGTCTGCACGACTATTGATTTCTGTGGGGATAAAAACTGTGGAGCTTTCTCCATCCCTTGTAATTATAGTATTTTACACCCAAAGCTGTAGTTTGTGCTTACCACTAACTGTGGCATTTCTCATGCAACTCGGTTGTCACATTTATTCAGACTAATGATCTTGCTAGTATACACATACACTCCCTTATCCAGTAGTTAGTATTTTTCTGTTAACATGAAGGGATGAGTAGTCGTTAAACTAGAGAGCCTGCAGAGACACAGCAGGCTGAATTGAAAAGGAAAAGCAGATTTAGTGAATATTGAGGGTGGTCATTGCTATTTTAAGTTTCCAAATACACAATATTGCCTAGCAGGTCCATTATAACAATTCCATAATTCCCATAATAGCATTAATGTGATCTTCTGGAACAAAATATGCTGTAGATGTAAGAAGAATTGGCTGGTTACCACCCACAGTAGTTGCATTATTGCCTCCATAGTTGCATTATTTCCCATTTGATATACGAGTTCCTTCAGTGCAAGGAACAACACTTTTAAAGGCATGCACTGCATCTCACAGGGGATTGCTATAAACTGAAGCACTGCAATTAGCCCTTCACTCATCCCACCTAATGACTTTGGTGGGTGTTCTGTGTAAAGAATAAGAAAGCAAAGCGTTCCCCTGCTGGCTCAAACTTCAGCACAATTAGTTCCCTTCACTAGGTCACAAATATTTTTAAAGCAACATACAAGTGGAAGTATTTGGCTGGACTCAGTCTGGAATGACTGCTAGATCATTTGTGTGGTACAAAGCAGATGCTGCAAGTCCATGGCAGGCCAAGCTCTGCTTTGCATTATGTGTAAAATGCTGCTGGTAGTCAGGAAGAGGTGGACCCTATGGGAAGACTTAGCTGTACTGCATCTTTATGTTGAAGGCTTATTACCTGAGTTGTGACATGCAGCTGTCATGCTCAGAGCCTGTCACCTATATCTTCTCTGTTGAGGATCTGAAGTGAAAGTGTTCAGATCTATATTGTCCCTGTCCTGAATGAATAAGTACAGCAAGTCCGTAGGTGTGAGGTTGGTGCCCGCTGGGCTTTTGGTCTTTTGTAAAAACCTTGCCTGGGATGTGTAGGGTTGGCACTAGCACAGTCAGGAAGATAACCAGTGCCCCTTTTTCAGCTCACTCTTGGCTTTAGTCGACCGCTGTGGCTTTTCATAAAAGGCTGGCTAAGTTGTGCTTTCAGTTTTTTCCAAAACACAGGGCTAGCTGTCCTTTAGCAACAAGCAAGATAATAGTGAAGCACATATTGTTCCTTGAGGACTATGGATTATAAAGTTACATAAATAGTATTGTTTCTTTGTGTAGTAAAATTGTTTATTTTATAGTGTCATAATATGGAATAAAGATCCATCATTGAATAGGGCCAGAAAGAAACTCGCACTTGTGAATCATTGCTGAGTGTCATCAGATCCAGTATGGACTTTGTTGCTTGAGCATGAAAAGACTGAGATGTGCTATTGTCATTTAAAGAATGGAAGAAAAGATTCAAAACATCTTCATCTGTTGTTAATCTGGACTAACACTTGGATCACTTTGGTGATCACTTTCTCTCCCTGCATGTAGCTTAACTACTTGGAAACTCAAATAGCAGATGTGCCACTTGAGAAAAAGATGCCTATACCATGGTGAAGATGTTATTATCAGCCTAATAATTCCATTCCTTTTAAAAAAAGGCTTCCTTCTAGTCAAGAGTGAATTGATGTGAAATGGTGACGGCAAATCTGTATTTGCTGAGCACTCTGAAATCCTTGTCTGAAAGGCAGTATGAAGTTCATAAGGTTCCCTCTTGCAATGATAGTGCCTAAGCGTGTGAAAAAGATGCAGTTTATCCTGCTCTTGTGTGAAATGGCTAAATGCTGCACTTTTTCCAGTCTCATCTCTGTTTATATACAGATCTTGAGTGGAAGGCAAGGTTACCCTGATACTACCATCTCTTTCTTCCCAAAACATAAATATTCTGCACATGCCTTGCTTGTTTAATGTAACATGTCAGAACCTCTGATGGAATAAGTATTCGTTTCCCTTTTTGGCTTGATTTGAAAGCAGACATTCAGGGAAGAATTACAGGGCAGAGCAGCTTGATCGGGACCACAGGTCCACCAGAGCAGATTAGTATGCAAAGAGCAGGGGGATGTTTTCCAGACTCCAGAAGGCAAGCAGAATTCTCTCAAGGGAGACTGCAACAGAAGCCCATGTGTGCAGAGGAATGAAATAAAACCTTTTATTAAGAGCATATTGGTCAAGAGAGAACTTCTAATACGTTCAGTCTGTCAGCATAATGATATAGCCACCTGCCTGTTTTGCCCTTG